TTTCACTGCAAGTTATTCTGTGAAGTTACTTTTACTTTAGCTTGGATTTCTATATTTCCACATAGTGACTAAAAAGGACATGGCAGTCCCCAATATGCTATTTTTGAACACCTGATGGTAACTTCTATTGCACTCTAACTTTAGAGAAGGTATATTCTTTTATCAGTGTGGTATGCAATTAACACCACGCCTCATTATTATTAGGTAGTATTTGGATTTTCACTCTAAGCATTACCTCAGTAGTCCCATGTGTCAGTGTTATTTCTCCGATAATCAAGATAGCCCCATAAAACATTACACAAAAGCAGGGAAGGGCTTGAATCCCTCTTGCTAATATGAAGCTCAATCCGCTGACACATTACACCGGGAATTGGCTGCTGCCAACAACTGTCTTTCATCTACCGGCAATCTCAAATGCACGGGAAGCGGATGAGTATCTAAGACATTCCATTAGGACTAAATAAGGGAACTATTACTTTTTTTAATAGGGAAAAAAAACCCAACCAAAAAACAAACCAAAACCTGAAATCATTGCCCATGACTACATCATATAAAAGTCCTGGACAGAAGGCAGAACATACGGATCCTGAAAAACACAGAACCGGCAATCTCAAATGCACGGGAAGCGGATGAGTATCTAAGACATTCCATTAGGACTAAATAAGGGAACTATTACTTTTTTTAATAGGGAAAAAAAACCCAACCAAAAAACAAACCAAAACCTGAAATCATTGCCCATGACTACATCATATAAAAGTCCTGGACAGAAGGCAGAACATACAGATCCTGAAAAACACAGCTAACCAGTAGACAAGAAAAGTGCTCGTAGCTTGACTGTGAGAGAAGGTGAAGAGGGAGCTCTGTGAGCACAATGAAGGCTGGAGACACAGACTTGAAATTCCAGGCAGGGAAGTGGACTTCTGTCCTTTGATCTCAAAATTATTTGGAAAATGAGACCTGATGTTCATTTTTTCCTAAATAAGCATGATTATATAAAATAAACATTAAGTTCAGTGATGGATTTTTCTCTTGGCAGATATAACTAAAAGACTCTACTAACTTCTTAGAATGCACAATAGAAAATTATTCTTATAATAATGGAATAAAAATGTCGGATTCAATCCCATGAAACTAACCAGATAAAACTATGTCCTGTAAATGATGAATCAAATAAATTGTAAATATTTTATTTTACGTGTAATGCAATGTAAGAAATGTTTTTCCTTAGAGCAAGAGATGATGTTGCTTCCAGTAATACAAGCAAGATGAGAAGATAGCTACTGATAAAGAAATCACACATCATCTGTGAAAATGCAGCTGATATGACAGCAAATGCAATAATAATGACTCAGTCATACATAGGGACTATAAAGAGAAATCATACAGGACCAGAGCTAGGAGGTTAATTATATTCACCACCAAAATCAGATGCAGGGAAACCAAGCAAGGAAAAACGTAAAATCAGAAGGCCCCGAGTTACCACACTGATCCATGTTCATGTGTGAATGTGTCTTCTGTTTTTCTCCTCTAGGCAGATAAATTTTACTGTAATGGGGTAGCATCTAAACATCTTAATCATCTCACTACATGGACGCTAAGTTTTCAACCACAGGCACCATTAAGATGTGTCACTGGTAACTACGCTCCTTTAAAAGTAAACTGGTATTTTGTTAAACAATATTAATTATGAAGGTCTCTATTTTTCAGTACTCATTCAGCAAGGAAAAACAGTCTTGTAGCTTGGACACATCTGCTCCAAGCACTATCACAATTGATTTTCTTATCATTAGATTTATACAATGTTTGTATTAAGTGGGCTTTGTATAAGCCAACCACTGATCTTTGACTTTTGAGATATAGGCTATCCATCTTTACTCACTACATACACTCTCCAGCATTTTGTCCAGCAGTTTGACATCAACATATTAAAAGAAGGTTATCACAGTTGACAGTTTTGAAGCACAACTAAGGCTCCACATTAAGCTGCCCAATTTTTAAGGTGGCAACATAAAAGTATAATGGGCAGGTCTTAAAGAGCCTTGCTTGCTTCACCTGAATCTGCAGCTGACTGTCAAATTAAGCACCAAGCATAGTTTGATGCAAACAAGAATGAGATCAAACAGCTGCTCTCTAACAAGAACACCTCACACATTAGACTTCTCACTGACACATCAGAGCTCCAGGAACAGAAACATCTTAAAGCTTTATGCAATTTGACCCAGGCACGCCTACGAGAAATGAAGGCTGCACAGTGAAAGCCTAAGAATAGGACATCCAGTTTTTACTGGTACACAGACTAGGAAGTGCTTTTATGAAGAGACAAAATCCGTTTGTGTTCCCATGCATTAGCTCGCCTTTGTAGCTTTGACAGGTGTTCCCCATTTATGTAAAAGAAGCAAATTGCTAGCACATGGGCAGAATGTGTTACCTTTGTATTGAGCTGCTCCTTTTATACTCAGGAGTCTGTCTTCGATGACAGAGTCAAAACTGCTTATCAACTGATGAAGTTTACCCCTCAGCTAATGAAGCAGAGAAAACTCCAAAAGCCACCAGTCATGATAAAATCGGGTTTTATGTTAAAATGACTTTAACTGGTAACCGAAACACAGGAAAGAGTGTGTCAGGAGCCCAAAGTGGATCTATAAAAAAGTAAAGATGATTGCACCTGAGGCAGTAACCACCACTGCACTTTTCTCTCTGCTACACACGGGAAACAACTACCTGGAAACATTCTCAGTTATTCAGCCACCTGATAGACAAAGCAGTGCCAGAGAACTGATGCAGTTTTTGACCGACATAGTTTCACTGGACTAAGTATTTTATCAGTAGGTAAGACTTCTGGATCTTTCAGCGTTTATATATGTGTATACACACACACACAAACAGTTTACTTGTGGGAAAAGAACAGCTCGAGACCAAAAAAAATCCAAACATTTCAACAATACCAGAAGTTCTCCCCTTAAAGTTTGTCAAACGAGTATTAAAAACTGTGATAAAAGGTTTTGAACTAAGAGACTTAGAGGTAAATCTATTACTATGTTGCTACAACAGTTAAGGTAACAGCTGCAAGCATATGGCCAAGAAAGAGAAAAGGAAGCTCTGAAAGAACCCAGTCTCCTTACCAGTTATCAAAAGCATACATGCTTCATTTTACAACCATACCTGCCCTACCCACGGGTTTGTTGCTTGAGAGTGAACACATGAGGCACTACAAGCAATAGGCAAATTATATCCAAGAAGTCAATTTGTTGGGTAACCATTAAACCTTGGATAGAGGTAATCAGCATTTACTCTCTACATACTAGGCAACCACTTACTCTTCTGTGCCTCATTGGCAACAAAGACCGGGAAAAGAGGGCTAACAGCACTTCCCTGCCTCACAGGGCCAATACCCTAAGGGCTGCATAGCCCTCACATACAGCACTACTGGATAACCTTCTTCACTGTGGTGGCAGCTTGGTGCCATGCCTGCAGGCTGCTCTGTTTACCACATCACATTACAGCTGAAGGGCAGCAAGGGAAGCACTGCTGCTTCTACCCTCACCGCAAGCAGGCCGAGGCAGCAGCAGCAGCCCCGCCGCCGTGACCGGGACCACACTGCTACCGCCCAAACACCTCGGCGGCCACCCACAGCTGACGGCAACACGGGCCTGAAGCGCGACTGGGAACGTGCCAGAGAAATGCAGCCAGCTGAGGCAGGCCCACGGGTACAGCAACACCCCTGAGGCGGCGGGGCTTGGAAGGCCACGGGGAGCTGTAGGACACCCGGCCCTGCTCAGCCTACCTCCAGCAGGACCCTCGGCCCCAGACACCGCCAGGGCCCCCCGCTGCCGAACCGGCCGAGCGAGTGCTTGGCGCTGCACAGACAAGCATAAACCCCGCCTTCTCCTGACAACCAGTGGGGAGAACGACAGCGCCACAGCCAATAAATAGGCCTTCCCGCCCTGACAGACAGAAGATAAGGGAGTGCCAGCCAGTGAGAGAGCAGATAGGCGTGGAGGCGGGGGATGCGAGAACCCAATCGAAAAACTTTCCGGCCCCGAGAGGGTGAGAACAAGATTAAGCTTCAGCCACAGACGGTGTGCTCTTCCTCCAATCAGAGCGTCTTCCCTCCTCGCTCTCCCCAGATTGGCTAAGAGATGGCAGGAGGGCCTTAATACACCCCTTTCCCCAATAGGAAGGTAGCACTGCGTGACAGGCGTTCAGATCAGCCAATTAT